ACAAGTATCTTCTCACCATTGGCTGAAGACTATTAACACCTGGCGTAGATTATACCGAAAGCTTAACCGCGACTCCATCCTACTAGATATAAACAGCTAGTAGTTCAACGACTGATGGTTGGAAACAGTGGACTTACATACTAGCTGTGGAATACGAACAAATACACCCAATAACGAATAATCGGAGAAAATCATTATGAGAATCAATTGGTATAAAGGGGTATCTCTTTTCGAGGTTCCACGCTATTGCCGACTGTTTACAAAGTACACATATGCATGTGTCGGGTAGCTTAACTTTTCCCGTGATGTGCAGCCAAAGTGTACAGGAGATTCAACTGGTGACTTGGGTTTGTGTACACGTGAACCAACTGGCTGTGTACTGTATCTGTGTGTGTGTGTGTGTGGAGAGAGACCGCTTCAGGGCGAGGTTGGTCTATTTAGGCTTGTCCCTTGAGTGGTGAGCACACAACCATCTCTAGGAATACTGAAAGGTTGAGGATAAGTGTGTGTGTGTGTGTGTGTGTGCGTGTGTGTGTATTCTGAGAGGAGAAGGATTAAGAGGAAATGATGGAAAATGGAGAAAAGGGTAGAGAGAGAGAGAGAGAGAGAGAGAGAGAGAGAGAGAGAGAGAGAGAGATAAAACGATGGAAGTGATACAAAAAAGACAAGCTAGATAGAGTGAGATAGAGAGAGAAAAAGACCTCCATCCACCACCTTCCTCACTTCCCTCCCACCAACACCACACACTTTCGTCCCCAAATATTTCCCCGCCTTTTACTACCGCTGACGATAATCGATTATTTCCCTAGGCGAGAGACGAAATATTTCCCAGGAGCCTTTTATAGGGAATTTCTTGGTCATACCGGTCTATAAACTATAAGAACCATGTTATACGCTCCCCAATATACCTCTTATATACACACTGGTATAATATATAGATCAATGTACATTTTGATGGTGAATAATTTGGGATTTCAATTTTGTGGAGATATTACTGGTGAATTGTGAGCTGTCCCTGACATAAGCTTGAGAAAAGATAGATGGCTGAACAGATATAATGACATACAGACAGACAAACTGAAATATACATAGAATAAGATAGATAGATAGATAGATAGATAGATAGTAAAATAGGTAAGACATATAAATAGACAGACTTAGCGCAAGGTCACAGACGTCATGAAGGTCAAAGGTCACAGATGTCATGAAGGTCACAGACATCACCATGAGTGACACTTCATAAATAAATCAGAAAATGATCTACAGGAAGACGAATTTGAAGATCGGTGAATTGATTTATGTGAGGGAGTGTATGTGTCAGAGAGAGAGAGAGAGAGAGAGAGAGAGAGACGCACCCAGTGACATCCTCTCCCCCTTTCTCCGTTATATCAAAGTCAAGCCGTCAACGAGAGAGCAAAAGTCACATGTTTTTAATATAGCTTTTCAATCAACAGTCAACACATGTGGCTTCATCACTACACCTTAGCCATGTTGAGGTAAAAACAGCTCTGTGATTCGTTGATTCTTCAGCTTGTGTGATAATAATAACAATAATAATAATAATAAAATACTAATAATAGTATTAGTGGCATCAACAATGATAAAGACTTTTACTAATAATTAACACCAGAGTGTTTTTCAAATTGTTAACTGGAAAACAAACTAATTTTTACTATTCATGACAAACTCTTAAACTCAGTTATCTAAAAAAATTAATCAATGAATTAATATTTAACCCATTTTACCATTGACTATAACAATTCATATTTACTTATATTAGTACTGAATTACAGTTTATGAATGAATGTATATGTTTAGTGGTATGTATAATTTTCATCACAACAATTATATCCAGTTTGATAGGAATGGTACAGTAAACCTCAATACTCGTATACTTAACATATTTGGGGGATCAGCTGAAGCTCAGCCACCACACCTTATTTTACCTTTAGATGAAACACAATAAGACTAACCTAACATAAACCAACCATACCTAACCAAACCAAACCAACCATACCTAACCTAACATAAACCAACCATACCTAACCAAACCAACTATACCTAACCTAACCAAACCAACCATACCTAACCAAACCAACCATACCTAACCAAACCAACTATACCTAACCTAACCAAACCAACCATACCTAACCCAACCCACCAGATAGCATTAGGATATTTAATCAACAAATGCAATAAAAAGGAGTGGCGGGGGATAATAACCTGGTGACCCCATTTTTGTGCTGCACTAATCAGCCTAAGACCCTCCTCTACTGACCGGGCTGACAGTGTGCTTCACGCGTGAGGGAATTTTTCCACGTGGGACCTAACTCAGCCAGTAACATTCTCGCTAATCCCCGTAATATTGTGAAGATTATGCCAAGCTTACCTGTGGTGTGGGTCAGGTATTGTGAGGTTAGCGCAAGTCAGGTGATATTTTACGTGGCTTTTGCTGTCACAATTATTATTATTATTATATTATTATTGTTGTAAATGTTATTATTATACTATTATTATTATTATCATTACTATACTATTATTATTATTATTATCATCATCATTACTGTATTATATTATTATTATTATTATCATTAACATCATTATGGTTAAACAATACATGAATTCCTAAATTTCAACAGAATATAGTCATCCTCATTATTCCCTTCATTGTTCCCTCCATCAAAACAGAAAAAATGAGAAGTGGTAATGAAGCCGAGATCAGAGAGAACTAAGGTCATCACGGCTGTGTATTATTGGAATCTTCATTAATTAACTTCTTTTAAAAGTTCCAGCTCCGCGTAGAATAAAAATAAAGTAAACAGAGATCTTAGAGATAAAACTCCACTGGTAAATAAAAACATCTTTCTTAATTAACTTCTCGTAAACACTCAATCGAGGTTAAGAAAAAAATAAGTAAATAAAAATAGACTTGAGAAAGGAAATTGACGCTGAGAGATCAAAGAGGCGAAACGTCGTCAGTGGCGGTGTAATATAGGAAGGTGTGAGGTCTGAGTGGAGGAGGGTCGGCGTCCTCTCCAGGTGCCGATGGTTTTCTGAAGGGCCCGCCACGTGACACCGTCGAGCAGGGCAACTCCAAGACAAGTATTTATAATCACTGTTCCAGAAACCTGACATAGTATGGGTCCATCCTGATCAAGATTCACAGGTTAAATTTGTCCAGGTAACTGATGTCATAATATATTTAACAGTTCCAGTTAGTCTGTGGTAACAAGGCAGATTCTCAAACGTTCTTACGTCAATTTGTCTCTGGGAACTGATGATGTCAAAACGTATCAAGCAATTTCAGTTGATCCGTGGGAGAAAGGTGGATTCTCATAGGTTCGTACGTTAAATTTTCGCTATACCTACAAACAAAAAACTATTTAAAGACTTCAATTATGAACCAACAGCACCATGGTGAATTTTCAAAGGATCAAATGTTAAATCTGCTCAACAGCTGGTGACCTAATGTATCAAGCAATCTTAAATTCTTAATCCATTTATGACACAAAGATGGCGGCGGAAACAGCACTGAAATTGCACACAGACTTTACCCAGTTTACTACAACAATAACGTTCTCTCATCACCATAAAACATATACGAATTATTTAAAGTCTGAACCGTGGCTCGTAAATACTGTAATACATATTAATACATATTCATACTGTACATTGTCACTGATCTGAATACAAAAACTTTCAAAATATTAAAAAATCTTTTTTTTTAATTACATTACAATTAGTTAAATGGGCACACCTAGTCTTTGAAAATATTATTAACAAAGTCTACTATTTGTGGACACTCAAACAGCAGGAGTATTATATCCATGACTTTACGTACAAACAAAACCCTTAAAACGTAAACAACTTTCTGTACACTGAGACAACAAGACTCACAATGTTACCAGTACCAGGTATGTGTAAAGTCACTCTGTAGCTTCAGGCTATAACGTAATAACTGGATCATTGAAGTGTGGCATTAATCTTGTGTAAATATGGAGACTACTACTACTACATCGCCCCAGCACCACCACCACTAATGCTGCACTCTACTACTACTACTACTACTACTACTACTACAACTACATCGCCCCAGAACCACCACCACTCCTGCTACACTCTACTACTACTAATAATAATAATAATAACAATAATAGCATTAATTACAAAATACTATTAAAGAATTCCAATTTATGTTTTATTTATTTATTTTTTCTTCACACAAGTCAAAGAACGATGCCAAATGTTAGTCGCTACCCCAGGCCGGATGCCAAATTATGATATATGTTATATCAATTATATTTCAATAATTACGTGTGTGTGAGTTTGTATACTTATTCCAGGCATTCCAACTTTCACATATTCCCACCTACAAATATTCAGACTTTCGCACATTTCCACCTCTAAGAATTCCTACTTTCTCATGTTCTCAGCAACTCCTCTTCCCCTTGCCAACGTCATTCCAATTCCTGATTTCAATTCCCGACTCCTTCATTCCAAGTTATACCAGGAACGGGTCCCCTTGTAGCCCCTAACCAGAAATCCATTTGCTAATAACCAACCCTAATTCACCACGCCCACACTTGCCCACGCTTATATGTCTGTCTCACACTTAGCTACGTGCATAGGATTGCCCTAACCTGTCAGGTATTATTTATAACTGTCCACACTTACCTAGACTTGCCCTCACCTGGCTAAACTTGCCCATACCTGCCCACACCAGCTGATATTCCTAACGCTTGCCCACACTTGTCCATATTTGATCAAACCTGCTCCTACTTGACCACACTTCCCTATGTCTTGCCATCACTTACACACGCTTACCCATACCTGCCTACCCTTGCCCACTACCCCACCACACCTGCCTTCCCTTGCCCACTACCCCACCACACCTGCCGTTTAAACACAAACTTCCATAACTAAATCATCAATTTCATGCGTTTCAGACCTGGATAAGATAAATAAAGAGAGAGAGAGAGAGAGATAGAGAGAGAATCATCATGAATGAGGATATAGTGACAGGGATACAGCTGAGTGAGACAGAGAGCGGGACATAGAGACAGACAAAGACAGAGACAGAAAGTGAGAGAAACCAATCTAAGAACGAAGGCGTGGTCTCCTCCATGCCACCCTTCCCTTATCAACACTAATCTCCAATTTCTCTTCTTTCCCATTACAGGCGCGGGCGTGGTGGTGTCCGGGGTGGGCGTGGGGGCGCGCGGGGAGCGTGAAGGTGCAGGGTGGTCGCATGGGAGCCGTGGGCGTGGCCTGGTACGGGCGTGGAGGCGTGGTGTGGGCGTGTGTATGGTGTTGGTGGCCGCCTCCTTCTCGTTCTTCCTCGTCTCCTCGCCACAGAGAACAGGACTCTACACCCGAGTCATCTTCACCTGTGAGTCCATAGACAACTTTCTTCCGTAGAGCTTCCGTATATTTTTTTTCAGAGCTTCCGTAGAGGTTTCTGTCATAGAGCTTCTTGTGTAATTTGTTTTCATAGAACATCCCTCAGTTAAACTATCTTTCATAAAGCTTTCTTCTGTAGTTTTCGTTCATAGATCTGTGGGTTCAAAGAGCTAATGCAACTTTTCGACAATTAGAATAGCTTTTAGAGACTTGTACAGGTGAGCTTTAGTTAATTTTTATTAATACACACAGATGAAATACAAAGCCTTGATGGAGCTTTCGAACAGTTGCTGGAATTTATAAGCATTAGTAGTGCTTTCACAAGAGCTTTCTAATGGTTGACAGAGGTTACTAGAAGTTCATCAAACTTTAATAACACCAGTTAAGCTTTACAGAACATTGATAGAAAGTTAAGCTTTGTATAACTTTGATAGAAACAGTTAAGCTTTATATAACTTTGATAGAAACATTTAAGCTTTATATAACTTTGATAGAAACAGTTAATCTTTATGTAGTTTTGATAGCAACAGTTAAGCTTTGATAGAGTTATTGAAGTCTTTGTCACCTGAGGGATTTAACATTCTAACACTACATGGTTCACTCTCTCTCCTGCCCTCCTCTCTCTCTCTCTCTCCAGCCCTCCTCTCTCTCTTTATCCTTTTTATTTACTTCACAACTTCTATCCATCTGTATTCTCTATTTCCTTTCTCTATCTCCATTTCCATCAGTCTCTCTTCTCGTCCCCCTTCCTTTCGTTTTATCTACCCCCCCCCCCCACACACACACACACACACACACACACACACACACACTCTCTCTCTGAGCCTGCGATATATTCCTATTTCTGGTGGGACTTTGTCAGGTCATCTTAGCTGCAGTGTTTGTTTATTAACTCTTGCCCACGGGGTGTATGTCTTATAGTGTTTACTGCCCTGCCACTGTGTGTGTGTGTGTGTGTGTTTGTATGTAAGAGAGATTAAGTGAGTGTATGTGTATAGTATACGTATGATCTACAAATGACTTACTTTGAATAAGAGTATGTGTATGTCTGCAGCAGCACACACACACACACACACACACACACACACACACACACACACACACACACACACACACACACACACACACACACACACACACACACACACACACACACACACACACACACACACACACACACACACACACACACACACACACACACACACACACACACACACACACACACACCACGGTAACTTTCCCTGGCTGGTGTTTATCACGTTAAGTTCTGGAGTTATAAGGAGTAAACTTTCTCAGCTCTTGTAACTTGAGCTTGTCTGAGGCCGCTAACCTCACTGATTTATGATTCACTCGATCTGTGCTTCACTAGTAAGTAGCTCTTGCATGATACAAGGTTACCTAGCTGAATGAGTCATGATTCACAATAATGCAATAGTTTAGGTAATATTTACGCTGTTGAAAACCTTGCACCACGTTATGACGTTTACTACTTCCTATAAGCACCAGACAGAGATGACAAAGGTGAAGGAGGGAGCAGTATACTACCGTGTCCTTTTGATGTAATAATTGCCAATCAAATATTTCAATTTCAAGGATTCACAATAGTGTAGCTGAATGATTTATGATTCACGATAGCGTAGATGATTGATCATGATTTGCAAAAGAGTAACTGAATGATTCTTAATTGAGTTAAGTGACTGATTAATGATTCACAGTTAATTAAATTCCTCTTTTGCACAAATGAAGATTTAATTGAATCATTCTTTGATTCACAATTTCGAGGCATTCATATTCACGGTTCACTTAACCTGAACAAGTGAGTGAGTCATGACTGACCATACGTGCCCGGAGGATATCTCCAGATACAAGATTCTCTCCTAACTGATTCAAGATCATACAGTAGCTTAAAGCAACTTGGAAATAACGAGTGAACCAGTATTGACGATTGGTTGTATTAAACAGTACGTAAAGTCTCCCTCACTCGCAAAATGCCACCGCCAGGAACAGTAGATATTAGCTTACTAGCATAGCTAAAACCGTAAAAAGTTTCCCATTTATCAATATTAATATTAAACATCCAGGGACAGAAGACAAAAACAGTATTAATTGTTTCTATATATTATCTTGAGTCCATTTTGGTTCAGAATAAACACACTTATAATTATATATTCGTTCCCGACGTCAATTTCAGTTATTAATTCGTCAATATCGGTCTAAATAAAGTTGTTACCAGTGCGAGAGCAGTCACACCAGTAACTGGCTTGATTACTTTAGCGTCAATGTGTTATGAATGAACACGTAATTAAAAACTATTGCAGCGCCGTTGACTGAGGTCTTACCAGCGTCTAGTGCTTGAGGGAGGGTGAGTCAGATGGGTCCTTGAGGGAGAGTGAGTCAGATGGGTCCTTGAGGGAGAGTGAGTCAGATGGGTCTCCAGCACCACAGACCCTTACATATCCATTACGACTGAACCCTATTAAGTCACCGTGCTCAAGGAGTTAAGAATGGGATCACTATAATTGTGACGCATTAGGACTGAGGACCTCTAGGATTGCTGTCCATTTGGAACGGGGCCCATAAGGACTGAGGACCCCTAGGATTATGATACATTAGGAGTGGGGCCCATGTGACAAGTGACCTATTTTCATCATCACTTATCCTTATTATCCCTCACCGGATCCATCGATACGAGGGAGGAGGTTATAGGAGTTCCTGCCGTCAATATGTTACCGATCGATCCTTTTAAACGGAGCTGTGTATCATCTAGTAGCCTGGGACCAATACCTTATGTTACTTGCAGTTCATCATGCCCCGGAATATATCATGGATATTATGGTGCCTTCTATCAACGCCTCAACGTCATCATCACCATCATCTCTCACATCAAAAACATCAGCAGGAAGAGGAGGAGGAGGGTCACATGATACAGAGAGAAGAAACACGGAAGGGGAGGAAGAGGAGCTGGAACAGAAGGGGTTCCTGGTCCACACCCCAGGCTGTATCATACCAGACTTCGACCCCTTCCATCACACTATCACCAGGTTCATCTCCAACCCAATCAAGGTGAGTCTGCCCATTTTCTGTTTATTTACGTACCCATTTTCTTTGGTCATAATCGGATACATTTTCTCTGTTCAAAGTTTACGGGTAACTATTTCATTCCGCTTTCCCCATAATTGAGTGGTTTTCATCGTGTGGTCAAATATACATATGGTGATTTAATTATGAAAATATATTCAGTTTTGATGAAACTATACTAATAAAGCAAGAATATTTACTGATCTTGTATATTGTACTGTATTATTTAATTGGTGAATATCGAATGGGAACACCACAAAAACTACCAGATACTTTCATTGTCTGTATGTTTATGTATGTCTTGGTGTTCAGCTTACATGTAAGGGTCCACCAGCACTCACGTCAGCCAAGGGGACGACACTGTACTACCATCGAGAGGTCCTGCACGACCACCTCGACCACTACCTCAACGTGTACGAGAGGCTCTCTGCCCCACCAACCACCACTAAAGCTTCCTCCCCATCGTCATCATCGACACTCAACATATCATCTAAAACATCTCATTCGGGATTCTTTCGTGCGTCATCAATCCCCTCCTTCCCTAGAACACCTCCCACACCCCCTCCCAGTACGTCTACCGTCAACAGAGTGCCCCATATTGGAGACATGGACGTGTACATAGACTTTACCAGTAACACCAGCAGCTCGGAGGTGCCAGCGTCTTCGTCGTCGCGGCCATCAGAAGTGAAGTGTTGCTACAGAGCCATTTACCGCGTGGAACAACAGCCTCATACGTATAACGCCGCCGCAGATGGCCGATGGAGGTTAGTGGTTGTGTTGATGATGAAGGGGAGTGAGAATAGTGGATGGATGGATAGTTTATATTTACACCCTGTATATATATATATATATATATATATATATATATATCGGTGCAGTATATTTTGTATAGGCGCGCAACACTACTTGTTTCTGTAACTCTAATAATGGCACTTGCGTTTATCACCTGTTCCTCTACCGTATGGTGGTGCAAACAGGTACAGTACATGTGTTATGACCCGGCAGGTACAGTCAGTGGTGCGAGCCTCTGGCGGGACCCGAGACGACCATCCGCGACGAAAGTGTCCTCGTCTACTGCAACATGAGTGACATCATCGTCTACAAGAACGTCCACTACTTCATCCAGAGACACAAACTACTCGCCACACCACCACCTAGGGGCTCCAACACCACCATAGATATCAACCAGAAGAACATTATCACAGTAGCTGAACAACAAAACACCTCTACATCAGCTAATCAAGTAAACATCACAGCAGCCGATCAATTAAACACCATGACACCATCCGATATCAATAATGAAAATACCTCCAGTGTAAATAATTCTAATCCCAGTTGCTGTTCCCCGAGGGTCAAGCCAGACCGAGACTCAATAGAGAAATTAAGTGTGATCATCTTCGGCACGGATTCAGCGTCCCGTCTTAACATGCAGCGCCACCTGCCCAAAACCTATCGCTTCCTGACGAAGGAGTTGGGAGCCGTCGACCTAGCGGGCTTCAACAAGGTCGGCGACAACACCTTCCCTAACCTGATCCCGGTGCTCAGTGGCCTCACTACCCAGGAGTTAGCCAATCACACCTGCGTCCCCAAGAGAGAGAAGTACGATGACTGCAACTGGGTCTGGAAGGACTTCAAGAAGAATGGATATGTGACGGCTTATATGGAGGTATGTTATATGTGGAGGTATGTTGTATGTGTGGGTAAATTGTATGTGGATGTAGAAGTATGAGGAAGTATGTTGTATATGGAAGTATTTTGTTTCATACTAAGTTTCATATAAATGAACGTATGCAAACCTAACATGACAACTCAACCCAAATATACCACAATGAATAAAATCGGCTCTAACTATTAATTAGCAAATAAAACAATATCTCCTGACACTAAGTTCATTTAACTGAGCCAATCCGAACCTAACCTAACGTGACCTATCTTAACCTAACGTGACCTATCTTAACCTAACCTAACGTGACCTATCTTAACCTAACCTAACGTGACCTATCTTAACCTAACCTAACATGACCTATCTTAACCTAACCTAACGTGACCTATCTTAACCTAACATGACTTATCTAACCTAACCTAACCCTTGGAAGACTTTCATATACTAATCCCTCGATGCCTTGCAGGACTCGCCGTGGATGGGAATCTTCAACTACCTACACAACGGGTTCGTGACTCAGCCGACTGACTACTACGGCCGCCCCTTCTTCCTCGCCTCAGAGAAGGAGATTGGTACCGCCAAGCACGGCAACTCTAACGTGTGCCAGGGTGACAAGTTCAGCATTCAGGTGAGCAGGAGGGGGGAAGGGGATGATGACAAGGGAGAAGATGGAGGGAATCAGCAATGAGAGGATGTTGGGGAGTGAGGAAAAGGAGGAGGAAGAAATAAGAAGAGACAGGCAGTAAAGGAGAAAAGGAGGATAGGGACAAAGAGAACGAGAATGAAGCAGAGGAAATAAAGACAGATAGGAGTGGAAGGTTGAGTAGAAGACGTAGTAGGAAGGAAGGAAAGCAAAGGTAACAATATCTTTAACATAAAAAAAACACATCTTACTCGCCCTTATAAACACACTACAGTACACAACCCCATCTCAAATTTTCCCTCATCAGGATTTCTTTACTTAGTTTCGTCTCGCCAAAGTGTACGCCGCCTTCCTAAGGATTTTCAAAGGTCCTTAAGCTATATTTTTCTCTCCAAAAGGTTTATTATCTGAGAGCGGATCTAATTGGCTTACTTAGACAGGAACACGAACGTGGTTGTCTATATGATATCTAAATGAAATTCCTTTATCTCTCTCTCCTTTCTGCATTATTTTCTCCACACCTGCGTCATCTCTTTTATTCTCTCTCTCTCCCTCTCCTCTGTTAAACGCCATGTCTATCCCCCTATCCATCTACTCTCATCCACTCTTCAATCCCCTCTCTCTCCTGTTATACGCCATGCCTATCCCCCTATCCATCTACTCTCGTCCACTCTTCAATCATCTCCCTAGTTCATTCCGCCTCATGCAATCTTCTTTCGACTCTTTCATATATACATTTTTCTCCCTCTACTTCCTCCTTCCTTCCCTCTCATTTTCACCAAATCGATCTTCCCCATTTCTATCCACCCTATTTCCCTCTCCTTATTCCTCCCACCTTTATCTCTAGCTCTTTTCCTCCTCTTCACTCCTTCCCTCTTTCTCTCTGTTCATTTCACTTCTCCTAATTCTCTTAACTTTCTGTCTGTCTGTTTGTTTCTGTTTTTTCATATCACTTTTTTCTCCTCTTCCTCCTTCTCTTAACATCTCTCTCTCTCTCTCTCTCTCTCTCTCTCTCTCTCTCTCTCTCTCTCTCGTGAAGTCTGAAACTCATTGGGTCCAGAAATAACCAGTAAAACCCTCAGCTCTGACACGCATTCCTGACGTTCCCAATTAAGAATATTTCCGTCAAGAGACAACTGGACGACTGGAGGGGGATTCTTCTTGTCTGGCTGGAAGTGAATGTGATAGATAGATAGATAGATAGATAGATAGATCGAATAGATAGATAGTGAGGGAGGGAAGATGGGCTAGTGGGAGGAATGATGATAGGTGAGTGGGAGGGAGGGGGAGGATGGGTGAGTGAGTGGGAGGGAGGGAGGGAAGGAAGGAAGGAAAATGGGAGAGAGAGAGAGAGAGAGAGAGAGAGAGAGAGAGAGAGAGAGAGAGAGAGAGAGAAACACCACCATATCCCTGAGAGTTACAGTAGAGCCACCACTCACCACCTACTCTCCCCCTCTCCTTCAGGTCATACAAGACTACTCCCTGGAGGTGGCGAGGACCTTCTTGGACACCCCAACCTTCGGCCTCTACTGGTCCGCTAGTCTGAGCCACGACTACATCAACATGCTGCGCCACGCCGATATCCCTCACCTCCACTACCTCCACCAGCTGCAGGAGGCCGGAGCACTCAACCACACGGCGCTCTTCTTCGTCAGCGACCATGGGATGAGGTGGGGCAGCATCCGGTCCACCTATGTCGGGATGCTGGAAGAACGCTTACCTTACGTCCTGCTCTATCTCCCGCCCTGGTTCAGAGACAAGTATGTTGGGGTGTGTTGGAGTATGTAGGGGTGTGTTGGAGTATGTCGGGGTGTGTTGGAGTATGTAGGGGTGTGTTGGAGTATGTTGGGGTGTGTTGGAGTATGTGGGGTGTGTTGGTATGTCAGGGGTGTGTTGGGTATGTAGGGGTGTGTTGGGTATGTCAGGGGTGTGTTGGAGTATGTAGGGGTGTGTTGGAGTATGTAGGGGTGTGTTGGAGTATGTTGGGGTGTGTTGGAGTATGTAGGGGTGTGTTGGAGTATGTAGGGGTGTGTTGGAGTATGTCGGGGTGTGTTGGAGTATGTCGGGGTGTGTTAGAGTATGGAGGGATATGCTGGAGTAGAGTGGAGTGTATTGGAGAATGTATGTTTTGGGGGTAGAATTATTTATCCCCTTTTGAGAACCCACTAAACTAACACACACACACACACACACACACACACACACACACACACACACACACACACACACACACACACACACACACACACACACACATTCACACACTCTTTACCCCTTCACCTAAGTAATTTCTACTCCATATTGCATGTAATTTAAGTAATAGGTCTTTCAAGGATAAATTAACAATTCCTTTTCCTCCTCCAGGTATCACGCCGCCTTCAAGAACTTACAGACCAACACTCGAAGACTCACAGCCAACTATGACCTATACCAGACACTTCTTGATATTGCCTATGGGAGTTTTGCCGATTTAAGCTACGTAACCTCGAAGCCTCAGCCTGATGCTAGAGGGATTAGCATCTTTCAGGTGAGTTGGGGAGAGGAAGTGAGAGATGACTTGACTCATTCTCTCTCTCTCTCTTGTTTTCATTATTTAATTTTTATCCTTTTTCTTTGTTTCTATTATTCTCACTTTTTTTTCCTATATACATTTATTTTTACTTTGTTTTTCTTGTTTTTACCTTTTCACTTTATCTCATGTCTTTCCTTTTCTATTTCTTACCTCTACTATCTTCCTATTTTACGTCTATCTTTGTCTTCCTCACTCTCCTTCTATCTCTTAATTACCTTATTTAGTACCAGGAGGAAGAGGGAAGTCAATAAAGAAGAATTACCATGAAACCCAATGATGGTGAAATCACTAACTACTATTGTTGCTAATAGTAGGCCTACTGCTTCCTCCAGACACAAGTCATAATAGGCCTACTGCTTCCTCCAGACACAAGTCATAATAGGCCTACTGCTTCCTCCAGATACAAGTCATAATAGGCCTACTGCTTCCTCCAGATACAAGTCATAATAGGCCTACTGCTTCCTCCAGATACAAGTCATAATAGGCCTACTGCTTCCTCCAGATACAAGTCATAATAGGCCTACTGCTTCCTCCACATACAAGTCATAATAGGCCTACTGCTTCCTCTACATACAAGTCATATTATATTCAACAAAATACCACACACAGGACCACCCAACCCTTCATATTATAGACGATAAGAAACAACGAAACCCAACCTAACTTAACCTGGGGAAGCTCTTAGTATGCGATAAGTTTGATTGATTCGAATACATGATGTGAATAATTAAATAAATCCGATCTAGTTATTTCCATTCAGAACAATCCTAAGTAACCCCAGGTATGTATGTCTTACTGAGACTGTATGTAACCATGACTATTTTGCTCACTCAGATACTAACGACAACACTTTAGTTCATGTTGTTATTAAGTACACAGAGGGTCAGTTAATTGTATTCGGAGAGCATTAAGAACGTTTACGACCTCATGATACAGATAAGTTTATTCACAGTTAGATGATGCGAAATGTTATAATCATTTAGGAGGTTAACGGTTCATATGTAGGCTATACAGTTATTTGCAAATTAAGAATATGAGGAAGTGTGTGTGTGTGTGTGTGTGTGTGTGTGTGTGTGTGTGTGTGTGTGTGTGTGTGTGTGTGTGTGTGTGTGTGTGTGTGTGTGTGTGGTATCCAAAAATATATGACACATTTAACTAGTAATTATATAATCCTCCCTCTGTCTCTGTTTATATAATTCTCTTTATCCATTACTTATATTATTCCTCTTTCGTCTCTCATAACTTTTTTTACCCCTTTATAGTCAAGATAATTATTTTATAGTCTCTTAACTCACTAAATCACCCACTAATACCATTAACTTCCTGCAGGAGATACCTCGAGGCCGCACTTGTGCTGACGCAGGCATCCCCGAGCACTTCTGTACCTGCCAGGACACTAAGGAGATCCCCCTCCACGACCCCGTACTACACTTGGCCGCCGCCTTCCTCAAGGAGACACTCAACCAAGACCTCAGCCCCTACTCTAAGTGCATCAAATTCTCAAAGGTGAGAGAGATATTGGTAGGTAGAGACACTATTGTCCTGTCAGACTTAGTTTGGGCATTATTGTCGAAGAGCAGCTAATGCTAAATATAGAGGTGGACGAGGTAACTAGACATCCATATGCACATAGCAATCTAAACAAACATGTGTGTCTTTGGATGAAAGAAATAATATCCTGGGCCATCTGTCAGCGGGAAGTAGACACGAAGAGAAAAATGGGTCCAGGACACGTCGACTCCATTTTCTGAAGGTGTTTGGTTTGGTTAGACACCTAATGTTGCTTCTGGAAGACATCATCACTATACCCACTTACTGTCGGAGGTAACAGTACAACAACAACACTCAAACCTTAGGAACTGACAAGGTCACTCAAAACCGCTACGAAGCTTTCCGGACCAATTAGCATATTTTACTTCACCAAGCCTGTCTTGTACAACACCACAAATAGTCTGCTCAGTGGAAAAGCGTGTGTGTATTCCCACGCCAAAAAAAGAAAGAAATCGAGTACTGGTACACTTCTGCCACCACAGATCAGTGTCGCGGCTGTTCTCTGTAAGACAAGATGAACCGTCGAGCCCCGATGGCTACAGCAAGCCCATTTATTAGACTTACCCGCCAGGTAGGGTCAGGCTGTAAAGTAAAGTACGGTACCGTATGTCACCTCTTAGCTCGTAAAACACAGACAGGCAGCCTACTTCTTTGTCCCTCTATAATCGTGTTATGGTTACACCAAACTTCATGTGGCCGCTGCCTGCCTCAGAGAAACCCTTAGACTCTTAAAGCGAATACCTGGACTCCTAATTTTGTATTTATTTTATAAATTTTATTTACTATGAATTATTATTATTTGTTTTTATTATTATAAATTGTATTTAATACGAATTATTATTATTATTATTATTATTAAATTTTCGCCCCCCAGGCCCTGATGTGGGTCAGTGACCTGTGCCCGGGTGGGTTAATCCCCGTAAAAAAAAAAATAAATAAAAAAATCCAGGTAGAGGTAGAGGTTAGGAAAGATGGAAACATTTCCTGAAGATTCTCTTTTTTTAACGTGTAAAAATAATTTTAAATACTGACAAGATCTACTCATCATTACAGGTAAATTTTGTATCCTTGTCATTCCTCCTACATTGATGTCAAGCACAACTATAATGTAGTAGCCAGGAAAAGGGTTTATTTCGTTAATGCTCTGGTATTACAGGAGTCCTACGATATGGTTTGATCCTTGGACACCAGGAGACAATATCAAAATAATTAGGAGCCACTAGAAAATAATTATGTTCTTAAGGTGTTTTGTACCACCAGTATCACCATCAGCTTGTATCAATCTATTGGTAGATGGAAGTTTCCACAATCTGCCTGTAAACCTTTTCCTACTGACTGGTCGCCTCCAAATCTCATGTACGGTATAATCCTATTCCCTCAAAGAATAGATTCCCAATTTGTTTACGCTATAGAAACATAATGATATCTGTCTAGTAATAAGGAACTACAGTATTATCACACGCTCATCCCGCTTTGCCTTTGACAGATTCGGGTGTTGACGGGGCGGGTGTCAGGATCCAACAAGCAGCTGGCACCTCAAGACACAAGCAGCGACGTGAGGAGCTACCTGCTGCAGGCCACACTGTCTCCTGGTAATGTTATGGTCGAGGCCACACTACGATACAACCCCCAGCCCCAACTCTTCCAGGTGAATGAAGGTGTTAAATATGGGAGTCGATCGGCTGCCCTGCGACCACATTGTTTCACATCTTATATCTTAATGTCATGGTTAAACTAGGTTTCGGTTTAGATTGTTAAATTATGTTTGGTTATATAATCTAAATAGGTTCAGGGTTGGTAAAATTAAGTTATATAAGTTTACGCTGGGAAGGGCGAGAAAACATTTGCATCACGTTGATTTGTCACATCAAGGGTCAAGAGATAAGTGTTTTGAGAGGTACTATTAATAAAAAATAAAAGAATTACCATCTGATGCTTCACAATGTAAAGACACTGTTAGAAGTTAGTCACAACATAGTTAACGGATGCTACTAATTCGTCTTACCATGGGGTTATATCTCTAATGTTCTATTAATGATTACATAAAGAAATCATAACCTAAATCACAACGAACAACATATGATTGGTCAGACCCAACATCTTTTTCACGTATGTTTAACTTATGAGAGATCAGTGAGGGTCTCTCTAGCCTGACACTTTAACTAATGATCAGATCCTCAAAACAAGAACTGCAGGTAACTGTCGTGAGTTACCAACACCTGACCCGTGTTAGAGTTTAAGTGAGGGAGACAAGCTTATGCTATCATCAATGGTGTTACTTCCTCCACCTCCTCTTCCCTGTCTCTCTCTCTCTCTTCCTCCCCTATTATTGCCTTTCTCTCCTATTAACAGCTACCATCAGTGGTATTAATTCCTCCACTTCCCCTTCTCTTCCTGCCTCTCTCTTCCTCTCCTGTTGCCTCTCTTTTCTTCCTTTCTTTTTTTCCTTCTTTCCTTCTAACAGTTATGTGAATATAATAATAAATGATAGTCAATTTGACCACGGACAGCAGACAAGGCCATTAGATGGTTGTTTCCAGTAGAGTCTTTATGTCAGCAACATCTGGTGGTCTTAGGGCCAGGCAGTCACCCATCCAAGTACTGACCAGACCCAACGGTGTTTAACTTTGCTGATGTTGGAAGCGATGTTTCCAACGTGTTACTACCACTTCCTTCATCTCCCTTTCCCTTCCCATCTCTCTCTTCTCCCCTGTCCTGCCCCACTCTTCCTCTCTCCTAATAACTCTTCCTCCGTCCCTCAGCCCAATAACCTTCAATTTACCTCCATTAATCGCCCCAACGATCCTCTTACCCTCCAGTTAGCGAAGGTTATGTCGCCCCCTGCCTCTTACTGACCTTTCTCTCCCTTTATCTTTCTCTCTCACAGTGTTGAATAGATGTCGCTTTTCCCTCATACCAAGCCATCCTCCCTCGCTACTAGTCCAGCCTCACACCTCCTAAGCCTCCCTCCCTCCTACTAACCCTCCTCCACCGGCAGGTGGCAGGGGAGGTGTCGAGGATCAACGAGTACGGGCCGACCAGCAGCTGCCTCCACCACGACGTACTGAGGAAGTTCTGCTTCTGCAAGAACCAGCTGCACACCCTTATCACCCACGGCCCGGGCTGAGAAACAACATAAACAGCACCGAGAACAGCAGAAGCGACAAATACAGCAACAGTTATAGCAATTACAAGTAACTCCAGCAGCAGTATCTACAGAGAAAACAAATTTTTACAGCGGTAACGTAAACGTCAACAGCAACAAAAATAACTGCAGGTGCAGGAATTTCAAAAAAAGCAATTACAGTAACAGCAGCACCCACATTGGTAAGAACACCGACACACTCCACAATGGGCGCAACACCGACGGCAACACACTCCAAAATGGGCACAGCACCAACAGCAACACACTCCACAATGGGCACAGCACCGACGGCAACACACTCCACAATGGGCACAGCACCAACAGCAACACACTCCACAATGGGCACAGCACCGACGGCAACACACTCCACAATGGGCACAGCACCAACAGCAACACACTCCACATTGGGCAAGCACCGACAGCAACACACTCCACAATGGGCACAGCACCGACAGCAACACATTCCGCACAGCACCGACAGCAACACACTCCACAGCACCGACAGCAACACACTCCACAATGGGCACAGCACCAACACACCTGCACAGCACCAACAGCAACACACCCGCACAGCACCGACAGCAACACACTCCACAATGGGCACAGCACCAACAGCAACACACTCCACAATGGGCACAGCACCGACGGCAACACACTCCACAATGGCCACAGCACCGACGGCAACACACTCCACAATGGCCACAGCACCGACGGCAACACACTCCACAATGGGCACAGCAACAACAGCAATAGAAGAGACAGACATAACAGCAACAAAACACACACTGTAAACAACACAGACAGCAGTAACAGCATGGAGACAGACTTGCTAACCTGGTTACCATTGGTGAACCATTTATTAAAACATTCAGGTGAAATATACAAATAAAATATATTACTCTTATCAATATATGGTGAATATATATTATTTTTCTCAATATCTCGAGAAGTTAACTAAATATATTTCACTGTGTAACGACAACGATAAATTTCATCAATATAATTCACCAGATGTATAATACATTAGTATATACTGTACATCTGTAACTGCAATGACAACATAATGTAACGGTAAAAGTAACAACACAGTAGCAGTAATAAAAACAGGCAAATATAACCGATAACAGCAATAACAGTAATAAACAGTAAGAAAAACAACATATCGTGGCAACAGCACCGACAGCATCAGAAATAACGACAACGGTTTAACCTCAGTTGAAAAAAACCGACAGCAACAACAGTTAAAAGAAATTTTCAACCTTAACGGTACCAATATCAACAGAGCGGTTACCGAACATATTAACAGAAGCCGTAGTCCCCCAACAACAGAAAAATCAACAGCACGTGTCTATTGAAGAAAATCTTACGCAATAACAGTATTAAGAGTCAACGGAAAAATACAACAAAATTAAGCAAATATTCTCAACAACGGGAACATGTATTAACGGTAGCAACAGAATAAACAAACAGCCGACAGCAACAGTGAAAGATAATCTCAATAATAAATAACTATAATTCACAATAACTATATAGTAGCGGTGATAAACAACGGATAAACATATGTCAACAGGACCAACAGATAAACAGAAAACAAACGAACAAAAACAAAAGCGACCCTCTAAGACAAAAACATGACAAAATTAAAACAAAGACAAAATAAATGACAAAAACTACAGGACAAACAATGACAAAAACAATAAGGAAAACACGAGAAATAAAAAAAAATTGACAAAAATAAAATACAAACACAAAAATAACAGAAAACAAGATAAGAATTTAAAAAAAAAACAAAATAAAATCGTAAAGCAAAAACAAGACTAAATGACAAACCGCAACAAAATTAATAACCACAAACAGAAAATGCAACAGTAAATAACAGATAACAGGCTACCTATAATGACAGACAGCAACATAAACAAGACAACAGAATAAAAACGGCAATACTAAGGAGGCAAATCGTTGGTGTCAAAGAATGAACCACTTCAGATGACACTCCTCATAAGTACCCCCTGATTACGATGACTTAATCCTCTTGTATACAGTATAATAGTACTCGAGGCTCAGGTTATCATTGTACTGAAAGTTCTAACAAATAAAATCGTACCTAAGGGGTTTAATCGTACTCAAGAGGTTAAGTCATAGTACTCACAGGTTAAGTAGATCATTGACCTGCACATTCAAACATAGTCTGGTACCCTTGATAGAAACAGCCTAATGTGAATATCCTAGTCATCACTGTTCTTCCTGTTGAGCAAGGACAGACAACACACACACAGTAAACAGAGATGACTTACTGTAATGTTTCTGTGGACAATAACAACAATATATATATATATATATATAATCAACGACCTCACCAGCAAGGAATCGAACCCTCGACCTACTGGGTGGGACTAGGGAACGCTTACCGGCTAGGCCTAGCCGGTAAGCGTTCCCTAGTCCCACCCAGTAGGTCGAGGTTCATTGGAGGAGTTGATTATATGTTCAAAGTGCGCGTGTTATATGGACTAAAAATGTATATATATATATATATATATATATATATATATATATATATATATATATATATATATATATATATAAAACAGCAACAGACCTCTATCCTAACACAAACACAAAATAAACACTTTCACATCAGACATCTAAATAAAAACAAAAAAACACAAAAAAAAATAAAAATAAAAGTGCCAAAATCAGATGTGAACTGCCAAACTTGAAATAGACTTCCAATATCATTAATTTTTTAAACTTATTCACAAGATTAAATAAACTGTGTGAAGTTTTTATTCCTGTGGTGAATATCGTGTTCTGTGCTATAATCTATGTGATGCTTCATTCAGTGTTTTTGTACAGCTATGAATATAAAACAAAATAAATATCAAATAATGTTTTTTTTAATGGATTATCCGTTGACCTGTGTGTGTGTGTACGGCTGGTCCCGTTTCGGCCTCTCTATAATAGTCACCTCTTGCTCACCAACGAAGGTGACATCCTTAATATCTCATGTCATAGTATCATAGCTGGATGATCGTCATACTCGATTCCGAGTGACAGCAAAGTAGTTGTAGTAGTAGTAGTAGTAGTAGTAGTAGTAGTAGTGTGTGTATGGCTATGATTCAGAAAATGATATATAAATAAGTGAAGACAGTTGTAGTGTTAGTAGCGCTTACTATGTCAGCCAGCAGTGGCGGAGACGACGGTAGTGTTTGGTATCCGCCTCCCTCCCCGGGCCTCCCATTCCCCGTTTCTCTCTCATGTTAGACCCATTTGCAGACAAAAGACCAGACATCTTTCCTCACCGAGATCAGTATTTTCCTGATGTACAGTAAGCAACAAAGCTATCGTCCCAGTTCTGAATGAATGTATCGGTGAATACTGTACTTGAGACATGCTCTCTGGGATACCTTTTAACAGTTGGCGAGCCTGGAGCACTGATCCTGGGTTGCCCATTTATCATGACTGTGAAATATATCATCTACCACATTAACCATTTTGGATGTTTCGAACCATGACATCTTTCACGTTCCATATAGAAAGGTTTTCTCGTCTCATATGGAATACCAACTGCTCATAATAAAGGCGAGGTAATTTAGTTATTATTTTTCACCACCTTCAAAAAATATCACCAGACAAAACTGAAAAGATACTTTTGTAGCTCACTGTACAGTACACCCACCCAACTGTTATTGCACATGATCAAACACATACTGTAGTTCCCCCCTTGTCCTCCTTCTTCATTCTCTCTTACGTTTGGTTTTGTCTCGCTTGTCTAAGAGCATGGTGACCCCAACAAGACCATTTATTTTCTGCAAGAACTAAGCATCACTCACAAGCTCAGTAAACATAACCTTATTTTATGTGTGTTATAATTTTCAAACTTATTAATTTATCCATTGCTCAGCTATGGACATTTTAGTATAAATTATTATAATTATGAAAATATACAAATTATTGTTTTATATTTTTTTTAATGGAAGCTAAATTTTGGGGGTTTATGTGATCATACAGTAATTAACAGTAAAGTATATGGGTGCAGTATAACCGCGCGAGGTGGAGGGGGGTAGGGGGAGGTATGACGGTATTTTTGATAAGGTAGTATACTTGTACATTGGGGAGGACGTTTGGTAAAGGAGAAGTGGCCCTTAAAAAAAATCCCCTTGAAAAAACAAAAACAAAACACACTACCTGTCAAGTCAGATGCTGAAAAAAAAGTTTATTGAACTTTATAATTCTTCGTGTCCTGTCATTCCATACTTTCTATAAGCCAAGGAGTGTAGTACAGCTTATATAAGCAATTAAGTTTTTAAGAGATTTATTGGAAACTTTCCACAAGCACTTCATTCATAATAGGGTCAGTTGCTTATGTCACACGGAAATGATATATACAGTACCTTTTATTTTATTTTTTTTTGCCTGACAAATTAATATGTCGATTTGTTATGAAGCTTTGTGCATCGATGTGGATGTTGTATGATTCACTCTGTATACGAGAGGTGTAAATAGTCTTGGGTCCTTGTAACGCTGCTATATCAGAAAGATGGGACAAGATTAAAAGAATGAAACAGAAACAAAATTGGATTAAGGAAATCATATTTACGAAAATTCTTATTAATTAGTAAGAAGCGTTTTAAGGAAGGTCAGTGTAAAGGTAAAGGATAATAACTTGTACTTTGTTATTACGAACAATATGGGGGCTCTCGGCCTTTCGCTATACCAAAATTTCCACTATTCCTTGATTTATAAGCTAGAATATGTAGCCTTCATTTGAATAACAGTAGAATACGGTTACGGCATCGTCATTCCCTCCCCCATCATTTATCTCAAAAAGCAACATTTACATATTTTCGAATTCAGTAACTGTTTAGCCTACACGAGACAATTTCCGTTACGAACTACAATACCTGCGATCTTCACCGACGCCGTTACAAAACACCTCACCTATGCATAATATAAAGTATAATGAAAACAATGCAATAAGGAGAGACTGGCAGACAGTATTTTGTATTTTCTTCAAGGTACAATTTTCTTATGAAAAACTGCTTTTGCTTTTATTGATTAATTTTTGTTACTATTTCACAGAATTATGTTTCACCTCGAAAAAATAAAAATGAAAATAAGCGTCTTTTAGTTGCCAGATACCACTTGCTGATTGAATGTTTCTGGAAATCGTGACATTATTCATTTACATGACTATTTTATATATATATATATATATATATATATATATATATATATATATATATATATATATATATATATAGGTTCTTTCAATCAGCTGAAACAATAATGAAGTGACTATATTAATAGGTATTTTTTAAATAAGTAAGAGAAGTTATTGCTCGTCAGTCAGTGTAGCACAACTTTGCTCCGTAAACATTTAGTGATGGATACTCTACGGTATTCCTAATCTTGTTTGATAACTGTATTTTTAATAGCGGCTACGGCATGTTCTGTATCTATCATAATGTAAGCTTATGTCTATCAGTCATTATGGGCCATACCTGTTGTGAATATCTTCATTGAAAGTTCCTAAAATATACGATAGACGTAAACCAAAATAATGAAATGTAACTAATCCACGTGTAATTCATGTTAGTACACGATTAATGTTATTTGAAATTCATTAAATACACCGTAACAAAAACAGTAAAATAATGACTAAGCGCCTCACCTCTACGCCTGAGCGCTGTAACCTTGTCTCCTGGGTGTCAGCTCACAATTAACTTCCTATATAAGAACTTCAGTAAGCTTTCTTGAGTTTCTTTCAATATTATAATTATTCGAACCAACGATTTAACACAGAGCTATTAGAAAAAAGCACCAGTAAACCAGGAACACTCCCCGCGACAGCCTGACGTTGACTGCTGAGACCATTTAGGCGGGAAGCCGGGACCGCCAAAAATTGCGATTCACTTTCCATAAACCACATTTTCCATTGCTTGAATAAAAATAATTAATTACGTATTTAGAAAAAGAAAGGTATGTGTTTCATGCTAAAGAGATAATATACTGTAATATCAAATGAGGATGAATATGGTACAGTAGCTGTTAATTAAATTCCCTCAGATGAACATTTAGGCGGGAACGTTAAGGTTTGCGATTCACTTCCATAAACGATATTTTCTACTGCTTGAATAAATATAAATGACAAATACAATAATGTACAGTAAATTCAATTATCAAGAAAAAGAAAGAAGTGTATTTGATGCCGAAGAGATAATACACTGTAATGCATAATGAGAGATTAATGTGGCATAGTAACTGTTCTTTATTATTATTATTATTATTATTATTATTATTATTATTATTATTATTATTATTATTATTATTGTCTGGATGGGCTAATTCCCGTAAAAAAAAAATAATAATAATTAAGCTCATTTCATCCAGGTGATATATACGATAAAGAATCAAGCGTTTAGAAGCTTGGGATTTTTTTTTTTACGTTTTGATAACAGTCAACTCATTAAAAAATAATCACTAATTACGGAATTTTCAAGTAGTTTATTTAATATAGTGCGGCGGTTTAGTGCTCACCTCCTGTTCCAGGGGTTGATTATTCGATCTCGGTCACTCCCAGTTCACCTAGCTATAAATGGGAGCCTAAATTTACAAGTAGGAAAGTGATTGCTGTCGAATGGAACATCTATGCTCCCTCAAGTGTACCGAAGGCTTAGTATACAATGTCTCTATCGGGCAGTCATGTCTATGGGACCCACTTTCACTTACTTTTTTTTCACTTTCAAGTACAACATGAATTAGAATGAACAATTACAGCACATCAGGCCAAGTGTATGCCAGGAATATCCAGTTGTTTTGCAGTGAGGAGCGTTGTCACGGTTGGTAAAACTGGCGGGAACTTGTGAGTTGTGGATAATGTTTTATACTTTTTTCCGGCCTGTGTTACCTGGCCTGTGTTACCCGGCCTGTATTACCCGGCTTGTGCTACCCGGCCTGTGTTACTCGGCCTGTATTACCCGGCCTGTGTTACTCGGCCTGTGTTACCCGGCCTGTGTTACCCGGCCTGTGTTACCCGGCCTGTGTTACCCGGCCTGTGTTACCCGGCCTGTGTTACCCGGCCTGTGTTACTCGGCCTGTGTTACCCGGCCTGTGTTACCCGGCCTGTGTTACCCGGCCTGTGTTACCCGGCCTGTGTTACTCGGCCTGTGTTACCCGGCCTGTGTTACCCGGCCTGTGTTACCCGGCCTGTTACACTGCTCAGCAACTCGGCCTGTGTTACCCGGTTAAGCCTGTGTTACCCGGCCTGTGTTACCCGGCCTGTGTTACTCGGCCTGTGTTACTCGGCTGTTGTTACCCGGCCTGTGTTACCCGGCTTGTGTTACTCGGCCTGTGCTACCCGGCCTGTGATTGCAGAAATTTTAAGTATTCATATTTTATGTATCTTATGTATACTGTGACTCATTTATCATCAGATGGTAAAGGTTGAGTTGATGTTTTATGTTTGGGTTTAGTTTCAATGGGATAAAAATAACATACCATAAAACTATAGTTTATTTATTGTTATTATTATTTCTTATGTATGTACTGTATTTATGTATGTATGTATGTATTTATGTATGTATGTATGTATGTATGTATGTATGTATGTATGTATGTATAAATATCAGTATATTTGTACACATTTTCTGTTGTTTTGGTTGATGAGAACTGAAACACGGAGAGCATTTAGAATATAGTTTAATTGTCCAGATATAAGATCATAGGTAATAATACAACAAGTTAGTGACTATAGATAAACAGCTCTGATATGACGTCATTATTTCTATGACGTCATTTTATCAAGTGACGTCACAAGAGACTTCATCGTGATTGGTCAGAAGACAGCTGATGGTATTTGTTGTTTTGGTATAATAAGAATTTCTTGAAATGTTGTCTTACAAGTATCAAAAGTGTTTGTTATTAGTAATTACGCTAATTAAGATTAATGAGCTGCTAGGTAAAGAATCTTTTAATAACATATGAGAAAAAACTAGTATATAATTATCTTAGATATGATTTGTAGGAGAGAAAGATACATAAAAAATTCAATTTACATTTATTCAGTGCAATTATCTGCCTAATTTGGACAAATGGTCTACCAGACAACCACGGTGGAAGATGGCCGCTGTGAGGGCCATATTCCAAGGTGGTTTTGTTAAAGTTCATCTCTCTTCCTGGTGAGGAAGTACCAAGATGTACAACAAGAATCTGTCAAAGGTTAAAAGAACGCCCACGGTCAGGAGCTGCCTGGGCTAGTACAGATAATCCACATTTACAAGAACGCCACACGAAACACCATGCCTGCGGTAATATTTTAGTCTAGTTATTACTTTCTAGTCTCAAGACACCGATTATGATAATAATAATAAGTATAGTTTGCCACACAAAGGTACTCTCACGGCCCAACACCCAGTCCCATGCTCCTTAAAGACTGAATAATGTTACGGTCTATAGACGACGAGGAGGGAACAATAAATACCGGTACCGGGCTCATAGCTGGCATGGGCTTGGGGTTGGAACTCCTGGATAATCACCCAACATGGAATCGAAGTACTAAACGGAGCGAACTATTGATCGTCCTTTGTTTATTAATCATCTAGTCTATATTTGTATAATTTCCCTATTTCTGATTCAGAACCTTTGGATCTAAGAGCCTTTCCCTATCACTTAGATATGTATGATAAGACGTGTGAGTGTTAGTCGTGGTTATACTGAAGACAAAATTATGTCTAAACATTGTATATCTTATCTATCATGCTCGCGAATACTCACGAAATACACATAAATGCAACAATATGTGGTATAAGTTCAAAATCTTTACACTAGACACTCTGGCCTCCAAATACAGCAAGATTCACACTTTTAATTAAAAACTCTTACGCTTCACTTGACTGAGAGAGACTCGTAGTTAAAGATCTTACAAGAAAATTCACTGTTATTCTTACTACAACGGATCATAAACTCTACTTCATAAATCCTCAATAAAAAATAACCTCTTCATCACTAAAATTAACCAAATTAACCACAAATTTCATTTAAACGACTTATATTAACCTGTGATTTGACAAAACTCTCTTACAGGTTAATGAAATACAATTATTCATCTAATTATGATTAAATGAAGTCTGAATCGAATCAAAATATGGCAAATAAAGAGAAGTGTTTATTACAGATGGAAAACCTGAACAACTTATGTAGTTCTTTCATGCAAGTAACACCTTAAGATTTTTCCTGTCCACTAAGGATGTTTTAAGACTATTCCCTCACTTAAAGACAAACCTTAAAATATACAGTGGATAGGTTAAGACTATCCCTTCATTTAAGACATTGAAAAGATATGTTTATGACTATCCCCTAGAGTAAAGAAAATTCTAAGACTATCCTCCCATTCCTTGGATAGGTGTTTTAAAACTATCCATTTTACTTAAGGGATGTCTAAAATACTATCCCTCTTATTTAAGGATGTCTTTAAAAACTATCCTATAATTTACGGATACTATTCAGGCTATTCTCTCATTTAAAGGATATTTTATTAATCATATAATTTTAGGTCCTACAAGGATGTTTTATTAGTATCCTTTCTCTCATTAAGGATATATAAGACTATCCCTCACTAAAGGAACCATTCAGGATGTTCTTTTATCCTAGTTTTGTTTATCGTAGGACCTAAAAGAATGTTTGTTGTGGTCATACCCTCATTCAAGTGCCGTGTAAGAGTTACTAGTGCCAGTATAGGTTAACAACGTCGATCCCAGATGGTAACGAAGTCGTGAGTCTTGCCTGTCAGTCTCTTCTCTCCCTTGGTGTGGTCAACGACGTGCTCGATCTGTAATGGTGAGATAAGAGTCACCAGTAAAGTCACCAAGAACATCATTATTGGAGACTTCACCAGTAGAGTCATTGAGAAGTGTGGTTATGATACTCACCAGTAATATCACCAGTACGGTCACCAGGATAGTTCTTAAGATACTCACCAGTAATATCACCAGTAATAGTCACCAGGATAGTTCTTAAGATACTCACCAGTAATATCACCAGTACGGTCACCAGGATAGTTATTAAGATACTCACCAGTAATATCACCAAGATTATCACCACTCACATGATCACTGCGAGATTTTACAAAGATCGATAAATATAATAATGTAAATAAACAATAATATAAAAAAACCCGATACGACATAACCACGTCATCCAACAATACATAAATATACATTAATTAAAATACATAAATATTAAACAAAATTACATGAAGCTGATACAAAATACATAAAATTACATATTACATCAAGTTTATTTAAGGATATAAGGAATGTTTATATAGACGTTACATATAGATAATAGGGGGATATATATAGTTAATGAATGTGGTCTTAAGCTGACTGACATTTAAGGTAGCATTTTAAGATAGGAATTGATATATATAGAATTTTAATTAGCAAGTGATAACCAGTGCTTATTACAAATGGTAACTTAAGAATAGAATTTTTGAAATATAACGAGTAAAGACAGATTACCTTATATGATAGCATGTATTTAATTGAGTCTTTTAATATAGCAAGTAAAAAAAAATAGCCTTTTCAAGATAGCATGCAATAAACTTAGCCGTTTTTAGGGTTGAAAGTCACATAATTTAGCCTTTAAAAGATAGCAAGTAACAAACACAGCCTTTTATAGATAGACAGTAACAAACGGAGCCTTTTTAAGATAACAAGTAACAAACGGAGCCTTTTTTAAGATAACAAGTAACAAACAGAGCCTTTTTTAAGATAACAAGTAACAAACGGAGCCTTTTTTAAGATAACAAGTAAGAAACAGAGCCTTCTTTAAGATAACAAGTAACAAACGGAGCCTTTTTTAAGATAACAAGTAACAAACACAGCCTTTTATAGATAGTAACAAATGGAGCCTTTTTCTAAGATAACAAGTAACAAACACAGCCTTTTTAAGCTATCAAGTAACAATTGTAGACATTTAAAGATAACAAGTAACAAATAGAACCTTTCAAAGATAGCAAGTAACAGACACAACCATATAAAGTAGCAAATGTCCAGCAGAGTCCATTAAGATAACATATCACAAACAGAGCCTTTTAACACGTAACAATTAGGACCATTTAACACGTCACAAACAGAGCCTTTTAACACGTAACAATTAGGACCATTTAACACGTCACAAACAGAGCCTTTTAACACGTCCTAACAGAGCCTTTTAACAGGTCACACAGAGACAAAATCAATATTATCATGAACGGATCTTGATACAGATTGACCTTTGACCTCTGACCTATCATGACCTTACAAACAGACGATAGCTTTCCAATTAATTTATCCCCGTCGCACCATAAGATCAACAGAGAGACAGACAGAAAGGCAGACACACAGACAGACAGATAGACGGGAAATGTCAAGTCATTGTTTACTATATAACTTTACTTTTAACCTCAAAATCAGAAAAAATTATCCATCTGACACCAAATTAATAGACAGATAGGCAGATAGACAGATAGACAGATATAGATTTATACATACACACAGACAGATAATGATTTAGACAGACAGACAGATAATGATTTAGACAGACAGACAGATAATGATTTGAACAGACAGACAGACAGACAGACAAATAATGATTTAGACAGACAGACAGAGAGATAATGATTTAGACAGACATACAGATAGGCAGACAGACAGAGAGATAATGATTTAGACAGACAGACAGATGAACAGACATACAGAGAGATAATGATTTAGACAGACAGACAGATGAACAGATAATGATTTAGAATTTTAGACAGACAGACAGACAAACAGACAGACAGATAGACAGAGAATATCCCCATATTTAACACTACACCATTAACCTTTCCATATTAAAATTGAAAGGCGACAAAACTCTGTAGTCAAGATAAGAAAGAAAACGTCATACAATTAACTGGTCAAAGAAACCGGGGACGTAAAAATTGTTTCCCCAAATATTACGAACAAAAAGTGTAATACACACACACACACACACACACACACACACACACACACACGTGCACACACAGAGCGGATGTTTTAACAAGGAGATGACAAAAAAAAGTTATCAACACAAGATCTTTACGTGAAAAATTTTCCCTTTGAAGTTTAGAAAATATTACTTTTTGTTAAGACTGAAAGAAGAGGATTTTGGAGGAGGAGAGAGAGGATGTGTGAGTAAGGAAGAGAGAGAGAGAGAGAGAGAGAGAGAGAATATGCGTAAGGAAGAGAGAGAGTATCCGTGAGTAAGGAAGATAGATGGATGGAGAGATAGAGAAGAGAGAGAATATGTGTGAGTAAGTAGGATAGGGAGAGAGAAAGAGGGTATGCGAAAAATAGAGAGAGAGAGAGAGTGATAAATAAATAAAGAACAAATAAAAGGAAACATGAGAACAACGCATAACCTAACCTAACCTAACCTAACCTAATCCCTCAGGTAATTATAGAGTGTTTAATCATCAGGTAAATTAAGCTGGGGGGCTAATCTTCATGTGATCACTAATACTTATTCAACATTATCAAACATCATTATCTTAAACCTTTGTTATCATTTCCCGGGAATATTAATTAACAGTAGAATAGTTTAATGACAAACTTTCTATTCTAAAGTTTTATTAATGACGAACTTTCTATTCTAAAGTTTTATTAATGACGAACTTTCTATTCTAAAGTTTTATTAAAGGCAAAATTTCTATTCTAAAGTTTTATTAATGACGAAATTTCTATTCTAAAGTTTTATTAATGATGAACTTTCTATTCTAAAGTTTTATTAATGACGAACTTTCTATTCTAACATTTTATTAATGACGAAATTTCTGTTTTAATAGTACGTCAAAAGTTCAAAATCATGTTGCACTTAAAATCATGCAATATTATAATACTTAGAATAAACTAATGACAGAATACCTAACATCAGACAATACCAAAAAGAATTAATATCAGTCAATAAAAAAAAAAAAAAAAATCTAGGCAATATTTTAGAATTCAAAATCAAACTTCACATCTCAATCAACTTTTAATATTGAAAAAAATAAAAAATCTAGCAATGTCAAAGGAAAATATAATACCATAATGAAAGGATATCCAGACGTCAGCCAAGTCACCTGTTGAACTTACCATAGAGCTGTCAAAACCTTCCTAGAGTTGAGAGAATAAATTTGTGAATGCCAGAAGTTCTTAAGTTCACCACAATGATGAAAATAACGAGAATCCGACTAAACCAAAGCGTCGAAAACCCCTCAGATATTACAATGTGAGGAAGGACTTTAGACCAGCGAAGAGGAGAGGAAGAATCTTAGACGAACGGCGAGAGATTAGAGAGAAGAAAGGACACGATAAACCACGAAAGAGACGAAAGAGACCAAGAGAGTCTAAGACGGAGGTAAAACAAGCAGACAAGAGAGAGTAAAGGAGGGACACGGACTCAGGCTCACGGACTCACAGGCTCACGGACTCACAGGGATCACGGAGAACACATCAAGTGACAGCTTGAGCATCTTACTGCTTGGAGGACTCTGCCTTTACCTGGTCTGTGGCGACGTGACCGATGCAGATCATGGGGTCCTTGAAGTACCCACACAGCTGGGGGAGGGAGGGAGGTGGTTAGTGACTTTGAAAGGTTAGTCAGTTAGTTGCTTGTTAGTGTGACAGGTTGTTAGTGTGAAGAAAGTTGTTAGATGCGGATCACAGCTTAGTGGTTTCATTAATGTGTTAGTGGTTAGAGTGTTAGTTTAAGGCATTGTAATTTTCCAGTGTGAGATTTTCACCTGAAAATAAAAAAGATATTGAACATTGAAGAAGAAAACATATGGTTGTGAATCTACCGATACTGTTACGGTTTACTCAGGAATCAGTAACCAGTTAACCTCTGGACTGTAACAGTTTTATAGAAGACAAAATTAACCAGAACTTACTCAAGAGGTCAATAGCTATCTTCATACAGAGGTGGTCTTCCTCTGAACGATTTACCTTCTATAGATATAAACTTTGTGCTATACGTAATCTATGAATGACATACTAAGAAGCTAAACCTGTACTTGTTACTTTACGGTACTGCAGTTATAGGTAAATCAGGCGTTAACAAACTGTAGAGTAAGTGTAACAAGACTCAACGAACAGTAGGGTAGTTACCGTCTTAGGCGCCTGGCGGTGACGGCGGACGACCTGACAACACAGACCTCGACCAACCTCACACTCAGAACTCACTGTGCAGGGCTCATCTGAAACACCAGGCAGTGTCAGTGTACACACCAGCAGTGCTAATGTACACACCAGGCAATATAAATACCGGGGAGTGTTAGTGTAAACATTCATCAGTAAAAATATGAAGGACTGTTTGTGTAAACACCAGACAATATTATTATATTAAACATCAGGAAGTGTTAGTGTATACACCTGAGTGAGTTGATGTAAACACCAGGGGGGGGGGGCGGAGGTCAGGGACTCAGTATAAAGAGGTAAGTTAAGGAGTCATTACTCATAAATATTCATACGAGTGAACAAGTCTGTACTGTAATCAGGAATTTTTTTATTGATATACAAGTAATGGGAAGACCTTACGATACCTGGTATGATCTAGATTCACCTACCAACGCTGACCTAGTATGGCCTAGGATGAACCCTGGGATGACTTACTGTAGCGTTTCTTGCCCTGGAACATGACACAGGCGCCCATGTCACAGATAAGGCCAGCGTTACATTCCGAATCGCTGCGGCACTCTGACCCCTCGCGCTGACCACCTGATGACATGCACGTCCCGGAGGCTGTGGGAGAGTGAGGGAGAGTTAGTGAGATTGAGGAGGAGTTGGTGAGAGTGTGGGAGAGTGAGGGAGAGTTAGTGAGAGAGAGAGAGAGAGAGAGCACTGCAACTTTAAATCGTTTGGTCCAGTGTGTAGTTAGGTCGGTAGGTATGTATGTATGCTTGTGTATGTGTGTGTGCGTGTGTGAGTGTGTGTATACAGATGCGTGGGTGTATGGTGCGGTACAACACCATACCCACGCCATTAATTTCGTACGTCTGGCAGCGAGACGAGGACCAAGAAGGCATAATACTGTAGCAGTTTCCGCATTGTGCTGGCATAGAGTTTTATCTCATAATGTTTAATGTTTTTAGCCTTGTGTACCACTAGCCTTGTGTGCCACTAGCCTTGTGTGCCACTAGCCTTGTGTACCACTAGCCTTGTGTGCCACTAGCCTTGTGTACCACTAGCCTTGTGTGCCACTAGCCTTGTGTGCCACTAGCCTTGTTTTGCGCTTAAAGACCTTCGTTGTTGAAGAGCAGTAACGACCTTATAACAACTGCCGGCATCACCGTTCAGTCTCATAAAATCTAATGGCTACCAAGGAGAGATACTAAATGTGTTTATATCTCCAGAATTGTTTAAGAGATGGGAGTCTACGGGTCAGAGGTGGCACGATATTATCCTGGAGCCTTCATGTACCCGTGTGTGTGTGAGAGGGAGAGCAACGATGAATAAATGAAACGTGACTAATCGAGTCCTGAGATTTAATCATTTATATATATATATATATATATATGTAGGTGAGTTACTCCCTTTTCTCTTCATATCTCTCCTTCTCAGTCTTGCAGTCACTTAGTCTTTCTCCCATTCTCTCCCTCTCTTCTTGTTCAATCTCACTTTTTCACCTTTTTCTGACCCTCTCTCCTTCCCTTCTGTCTAACCGACTTCTAAAGGTACAATTTACATGTACAGTAGATAAAGTAACTCAATCTACTGTACATTATATATATTTTTTTCTATTTCTGTTTTGCTCTCTTTCATCTTCACTCATTCTCTGTTTCTTTCATAATCAGGAAGAGAGAGAGAGAGAGAGAGAGAGAGAGAGAGAGAGAGAGAGAGAGAGAGAGAGAGAGCAGGGGAATGTCCTCTAGGTGACACACTTAACGGAATTGGTTTTCGCGCTCTAACACTTTTTGTAATGATCATTTTCCTCCTTCTGTTTCCTCCGTTTGTTTGTCCTTTACTCTGTCTGTCAATTTATCTTTCCCAATCGCTATCTGTCTGTCTGGGTAACTCTCCCTTTATCTTCCTATTTAACTTATCTATCAACTGTCTGTTTTTTCCTGTTCATCTGTGGTGAAAAAATATAATCGTTATGGATACAAACCTCTCTCTCACCATGACAGCGACAGGGAGCGTACTTAATATTTCCCATAAAATTGTATCGTTATTTCAACACTAGTTAAGGAAGCAGCCATAAACGAGTCTTTAGTGGCTGATTACAGCTAAATGTCGCTCCAACACTATATGTAAATGAATGAGAGAGAGAGAGAGAGAGAGAGAGAGAGAGAGAGAGAGAGAGAGAGAGAGAGAGGAAAAACAAACAGCTTTATATGTTACTGAATTTATCACATTGACAGTTCTCTATGATATAATTTGTATTAATTATTTATTTATTGTATTAGATGAAGCCTAAATTATATTGCTCCAGATATACAATAGACGTCGGCCGAGGGTGATATATTAAAACGTTCTACACAGAAAAAGATTCTTGGCAGAAAGAATTTTTAAATCATTATAAAAGAAAAAGATATAATATTGTTATGTTGATATATATTTAAATACTATATGATATACTTATTCTATAAAACACTGCATAAACTTAACCCACGACATCTTATTTTATGTATAAGTAAAGAAAAAGATGGTCATTTGACTTGAGCCGTTCAACGTAGACGGGAACGGCGGGACAGCACTCAACAACTGACTGTAGGTTGACATTACTGTGTGTTTTCCTCTTTATACTTGAAAAATAGAGTATATTAACACAATGGGAATGTTTTCAACGTGCTTTGTGTTAGCTGCCACACTGCTGGAGGTGTAGGGAGAATGATGAGAGCTAGAATAACGGATAAAGGTACGTAGGAGGAGAAATAATGGGAAGAGGCCTAGTTACCCTCTTATCTGGCAGTTCTCTCTTGATGCCTTGTTAAGTTTTATTATTTTCTGGTCCCCTTGTAATACCCTGAATATAAAAAAATATATATATATATCTATATCAGTAAATAGCGCTCGTCACGACTAATATTTAAGATTCTAGAAGGTTCCTACGGTAAATACAACCCATAAATACCTTGTATAGAAGAACCTGTCAAACTTATTAACACCCAAATAACATTAAAAATGGCATCATATTTAAACATTCAATCTCAACTGATGTTAGGTTCACTAAATAGTTTAAATAAGGTTAATGTTAGTTTATAGGTTGGTTATGGTTAAGTTTTGGTAAAGAAACACTTAGGTTAGTTTAAAGTTAGGTTAAGGTTTAATTGCACTTAGGTTTAAGTTTGGTCTGATTAAAACTAGATTAGATCAAGGTAAGAAATGTTACTGGTTAGGTTAGTGTAAGACGCTAAAACTAAGTTAAAGTTTGGGTTAGCTTAAAGTTAGGTTTGGTTAAATCTAGATTAAAGTCAGTCTAGTCATGGCTTCGGTTATTGTTAAGGTAAATGACATTATGAATAGCTTCGGTTAAAGTTAGATTAAGGTTATATTTAGGCCATGTTAAAGTTAAATTTAGCTAAGATCATGGTTAAGGTTAGGTTACAGCTAGTCTAGATTCAGTTGAATTTAGATTGGCCTAGGATAAAGTTAGGCTTAGGTTAAATTAGGTTTATCGTTATAAGTTGTTAGGTAAAAAATTCATAAATGATTGTTAAGTCATATACAAGGGGGTAGTGGAATGAATATGGAAATTGAACATTATTATGAGGTTGCCATGACAACAGTGACGGGGGTATCTAAATATTCTTATTTATCTTATTCCGACACAAAGACACTATACATGAACTAGTTGCATTTATCGTTAGTGTCATGTATCCCTGCGGCTTATTGTAAGTAATGTACGTACAAACGATATCTCTTAAAGAGCTGTAGAAAGGATAGTAGGAGGAACTACTGCAATTTCCTAATAAATTAGTCTATTTTTGTGTCGTGTTAAATTATAGTTATCAGTTATTTAAATTGTATTAGTATCTTATAAAATATATTATCACATAAGCATAAGCATGTAGTCTTAGGTATCAGGAATTCACTCAGTTGTGCAGGGCATGGAAGGTGCCAGTTAACGAAATGAGATTCAACGAGGCGACATCAGAATCTTGGCGGGAAGAATTTTCAAAACAATTTGGTGAAAAAAAAATGTCTTATACGGATCTCTGATATAATTTTACATGTTATATTAATAAGTTTATTTTCAAAAAAGCAAAATTAAATTTATCCTCATCCTAGATATTTTTTTGCAGATTTTTAAAAGTAAAGATACGCATTTGACTTATACGAGGCTGCGGTCTTCTTGACGTACTGCTAGTGAATAAACCCGTGTCACTATCACTACCAAGGATGGCCATATTAGGGTCATGATTGTCAATAGCTCGAACACTGAATGACCCTCGTAAGTGAAGAAGTAAGGATGCACATGACTGGTTCATCTGGTGCAATAGTCAATCCCATTTCAATTGATTATTATCATTATTTATTTCACTTGTTTTTGTAGTGATGTGTAATATAATTTTTTCTTTGACAAATTTTAATGCGTAGCACACGTACATTACTCAACCATTAATCACTTAAACTGTTCAATTGTTCCCGTAATTTAACCTTGTTCTCGGTACTTTTCTCTTTTTCAGTAAGTTCCCTTGAGTAATTATTATCAGTTAAGGTAAATATTATTGATGTTATGAATATCACTCGGTAAATATAATCTTCGCAGGTGATCAGTGGTGGCCTGTCGTATGTCTAATTTGGACAACATGGCCTGTAGTCCAGATTAACGTTCAGTCTCAGTGGGACTCGGATATGTCACTGGTTGAGGTGCAGCAGCTAGTATTTGCTCATTCAGAATGATAATGTACAACTAATTTCTCAGTTACTGACGTCAGATGGAACTGATACTTTTGACAGGACATCAAAATGCTTAGAAAAATTCAGTAATTTGTAATAACCAATTTAAAATAGTGATCTTATTTTATATTGTTAGAGCATGCCACCAAAGATGACCAGATGTAAACATGAACTCACCGTCAATCTAACATTTACGAAACCTATTAACGAACTAATAGTGTTACAGTTACGCAACCTTATCACTACCATGGCAACCATAATAGGTAACACGTTAATGACATATATTGTAATTATAGTAATCCTTTTCATCAATTATTAAGATAAATTTGTTAAATAATCGTTGTCTTCGTAGAGTGATTTTATTGGTGGTAGTAAACTTAAAACGCTGCTCCAGGTCAAGAGTGACCGTAACAATGTCATGTCGTGACTTTAGTGGTAAGTTTTAGCAGTTTATTGCAACTAAATTTTCCTGTCCTTGGATTCACTATAAGCGATGCTGAGTGAAATTTAGATTAGTTTAGCTTTAAGTTTATACTTAATGAATCTGGTTAGCCGGGTATAGGAACCTTCATGGAAATTGTTTTTTCTTAAGAACGGTTGCTGTAGATACAATACAATACAGTATATATATATATATATATATATATATATATATATATATATATATATATATATATATATATATATATATATATATATATATACACACAGTATATCTGATTCATAAAACAGCCCGTTTGAGGAACAGATAAATTCTGCTTCTAATATTGCCTTGTTTTACAGGTTGAGAACATATAAAAGGAGATTAGCCTAGCAGCAAACGCTTACCTCTGTGTGCCAACCTGTGACACCAAAGACTGAGAATCATGTCCACGACGCACCAAGAAAGGGTTAAGTTA